GGAGCACACACAATTTTTTAGGTGGAAAACCCTTCAACGTGTAGGATAAAAAACCACGGGACCTCTTGAGGAGTCCACACTTAATTCTCTTATTGATAAATGAGGGTAAAAGAACCCCAAATCAGTCTACAAGGATTCACAGCCCACCAACAATTACCAATAACAATAAGAGATCAAAATAGCACAATAATGTGTAGAAATCACCCAAAACTGCAGGTCTGTTCGTGCAGTGTTTCTGACTAAACCAGAGATCAACTGAACAATCTGACCGTTCAAAATGAAGCCCTTGAAGTCACGAACAAGCTGTGCAAATTTCAGAAAAATCCGACCACGGGAACACCTCCGATCGACAATCTGAACAAAGCAACGTACTGCAGGTCGAAAAACGGGAATATGTCCCCAAAACCTTCTGTTTTGTGTGTGTGCGTTTTTCTATCTGTCAAAGCCTTCCCCAGATGATCTTTTACAGCAAAAGGAACTCTAAAAAAACTTGTCTTAAAAGCCCAAAGCCCAAAATCAAATGGACCCAAAAATAGGACATAAAAATCCATCAAACAAGACCCAAACATAAACAACAAAAGCAATATAAAATATTGCAAATATGGGCTGGACCCATAACATGTGTGATGGGATTATAGGACTAGGCCCAACGCCTAATCAGACTTGGCCCCAAACTTGGATAAGCAGGACCAAGCCCAGGACTGTCGTCTCGTCAGGCAAGCCCAGCTAGTGGACCCAGCGATCCAGATATCAAGTCGACCCAACCAACCGGGCCCGTTAGGGAGTGGAAGCCCAAGACGGCCTGCCTGCCGGCCAACCGGAAGCCTGCCTTGCGGCCTAGCTAGGAGCCTGCCTTCCAGCCCGACGGAAGCCTGCCGCCCGAGAAGCTCAAGCGTCCGAACCGCCAGCCAGGCCGACCCGCCAGCCAGCCAGCCAAGAAGCGTAACAGCCAACAATCAATGCACCATTAATCATGTATTTAATTCCGTATTAATATTGTAATTAATTTAGTCATTATTATTCGGCAGTTACCATTTGTAATCGCCTATAAAAGGCAAGTCCGATTCAAATAATAGACATGCTATTCTTGGCAACTAAAATTCCTGAGCAACTTTCCATTCTCGTATTATATTCTTGATTCTTGCTTGAGTGTTCTTTCGTAGCTTTCCTAAAAGCCTACGAGCGTCCTAATTTGGACCAACATTGGTGCTTTCATTGAGAGCCTCTATTGTCTCTCACAATCACTTGAGCAGGAATCGCACAGAAAGATGGCCGGAATCTCGTCCCGACGTGACCATGTCTCAGTCCACACCGGGGAATCCTCCGGGTCAGGCCGCCAGCGTGCCCTCGACAACCATGGACAGGGCAGGAGGGCGGCGCCCCAAGGCGACCTTCGGAACCGATTGTCAGGCCACGGCGACCTGAGGGCGACGCTCAACCACACCCAAGGTGAGCGCTCGGCCCGCAGCCGGCGGGGGGGAGGCCGACGTCATGCTCCGCGCATGGACCCGGTTCGACTCAATGCCGGGGTGGAAGCCCTACAGGAGGCGACTCGGGTTCTGGGGGCCTTGGCTCAAGGTTTCCAACAGATGGTGTCTGGCGGAAACGTGGATGAGCCTGCCCGTCAACAGACGCCGGCAGATGTGGAGGTGTCCTCCAGGCGGCGTGACGAGCGACGTTCTGGATCCGACCAAAACAGGAGGGAGGAAGTCTCCCAGCAGCTTAGCCGGCCCCATCAGCAGGCGGGGAGGGGCGCCCAGCAGGGGCGCTCAATGCAGATGGAAGGAGGCGAGTCCTCTCGCCACTCTCACCGAGCGAGCAGCCGGACTGGCTCCATGGAAAGGCAAAACGTGGGGACCCGACCCCATGCACACAGGCGACTTGGAGGCGCTGCTGGACATGCCCAGCCCCGTGCTAGGGCTGTCCGGGGGAACCCACCGCCGGCCGAGGTGGAAGATCTACGACAACGCCTTGACGAGTTGAGGAGAAGGGTCGTCGGGGGGGAGCCTTACACGGCCGACCTCCGGATACCCGAACCTTTCACCCGGGCGGTCATGGATGCGCCGTTGCCAAGGGGCTACAAGCCTTGCACCATCGAAACATACAAGGGCATTTCTGACCCCCAACATCATGTGTCGCGATACCTTTCCTACATGGTGATGATGGGGTACGAGGACGCCATCCGGTGTCGCGGTTTCTCTGCCACCTTGGATGGCCCGGCTCGTGAATGGTATGATTCTCTGCCCGACGGGAGTATTATGAACTTTCGTGAGCTGGCTCAACGCTTTCTCTTGAGGTTCGCTAGCTCTCGAGACGTCAAAAAGAACTTCAGCCACCTGTTCGGCCTAAAACAGGGGAAGAAGGAATCATTGTCCGCCTTCTTAGCGAGGTGGAGGGCCGAGTCAGTCAAGGTTCAGGGCCTTGATGACAGGACTGGGGTGGCAATGCTCACAAACTCTATCCGGTCTAGCGAGCTTTACAAAGATTTCGTTAGAAGTCCCCCTGCCTCGTACGAGGAGGCGCTCGGCCGCGCTGATCGCCAGGCCGAGGCGGAAGACGCCGTGCAGAGGAGAAGAGAGAGAGAAGGAAAAGAAAGGAAAGAGAAGAAAAGAAAGGAAAGAAAAGAAAAAGAAAGAAAAGAGAAGGAAAGAAAAGAAAAGGAAAGAAAAGAAAAGGAAAGAAGAGAGAAAAAAAATAAGGTCCGAAAATAATCATAAAAAATAATTATGATGAATCTCAGGAATTTTCGGAGGCTGACCTGTATTCTGGAGTCTGGAAGAAAGCTGACTGTTGGAATGCTAGGATGTGAGGGAATTAATTTAAAGCCTTCTTAAGCTGAGAGCTTTACTTAAAATTGGAAAATTTCCATAAATTGTGAGATTGACAGAATCCACAAGTATTGCTCCCTGGTATGTGAGTATTTTTTAATTGACAGCTGACTTGGACTACTCCCTCTTAGCCGAGTCTACTACTCGACTAAGGGAGTGGGGGACTCGTGATGGGATTATAGGACTAGGCCCAACGCCTAATCAGACTTGGCCCCAAACTTGGATAAGCAGGCCCAAGCCCAGGACTGTCGTCTCGTCAGGCAAGCCCAGCTAGTGGACCCAGCGATCCTGATATCAAGTCGACCCAACCAACCGGGCCCGTTAGGGAGTGGAAGCCCAAGACGGCCTGCCTGCCGGCCAACCGGAAGCCTGCCTTGCGGCCTAGCTAGGAGCCTGCCTTCCAGCCCGACGGAAGCCTGCCGCCCGAGAAGCTCAAGCGTCCGAACCGCCAGCCAGGCTGACCCGCCAGCCAGCCAGCCAGCCAAGAAGCGTAACAGCCAACAATCAATGCACCATTAATCATGTATTTAATTCCGTATTAATATTGTAATTAATTTAGTCATTATTATTCGGCAGTTACCATTTGTAATCGCCTATAAAAGGCAAGTCCGATTCAAATAATAGACATGCTATTCTTGGCAACTAAAATTCCTGAGCAACTTTCCATTCTCGTATTATATTCTTGATTCTTGCTTGAGTGTTCTTTCGTAGCTTTCCTAAAAGCCTACGAGCGTCCTAATTTGGACCAACAATGTGCTACTGAAAGATAGATTCAGTTCAATTTCTAGAAACTACACCAATTGAGAACCCTTCTCAACAAAAAGATAAAGTCCAACTCTAAGGGCTTTCTAACATCAATCTAAAAGTTAATTGAAAGAACATAAATTGAACTTTAATATATACTGAGTGAAGCTCTAACTCATATGGTTTTCAATTAATTATTTTAGACATATTGTAATGTGCTTCGGTTAGGGGTGGACTCGGGCCGGGCGGCCCAACCCGGAACCGGCCCAGCCCGGTCACTGTTTGAACCGGACCGAACCGGTGGCCCGGCCCAGGGGCGGTTCGGGTCGACCAGGCACGGTGGGGTTCGGTTCCGGGCTCGGGCCCTCCATTTGGTGAACCGGCCCGGCCGGTTCGGGCCCGGTCCGGGCCGAATTTAATTTTTTTTTTTGAATTTTTTTTAGTTTTTGGGTTGGGCTGGGTATTTTGGGCCATTTGAGGTGGTTTGGGGGTGAGGGGGGTGGGTTGGGGGTTAAATAGGAGAAGCCAAAAAAAAATTACAAACCGGGTGGCCCGGCCGGCCAGGCCCGGAACCGGTGGCTACCGGTTCGGGCTCGGGCCCAACAAAACAGAACCGAGGCCCGGCCGGGCCCGAACTGGCCCGAGTCCACCCCTAGCTTTGGTGCTTCTCAATTCTCATAGAGCATTTAAAATACTGCATAAATTTACTCACTATAATAAAGGAGATGACCATTATTTATTATAAACTCATACGTGTAACTTTAACAAATGGAGTAAATATTCTTTCGTGCATAAGGTGCATTCTAGACCCACTTGACTAATCGTCCACTTCGAGGCTCTAATTGGCTTAAGGTTTTGCAATGAGTGTTAATTAAATGTAACAATAATTACAATCTGACTATTTAAAATTATAACAATCTGATATGGATTTGTTGCAGTTTGTCTTCAAACCTAGTAATCAGGAATTAAATGTTTTGATTTCAATAAGCCAATTTCATTCTTTGTTTCAAGAGGTTGAATCACAACTTCGGTCCTAACGTTCTGATTAGGCATTTCAACAAGTGACCCTCGGCTCAATAATGTTAGACCTCATAATCGTTTCCACTAGAAGTTTAACCCAACATATGAATTTTAACGTCACAATAAGGAGTTTCGGTCCTTGGTCATTCCAACTTGTCCACGCTCAATCAGCTCGCCGTCTGGGTTAGCCAATTTCATTCTTTGGGCTACTCCAAATTCATCCTCAACCTACTAACTACGAAATATTCTGCACAAAATCAGATTATGAGAATGAGAATTTAGGTGTATACCCCCCTTCTTTATTGCTCCAGCATTTATTTCTTCAAAGTACCCGTTGCAATCGCCAACCTGTTTCCTGTTATTTCTCTGTACTTGTTTCTTTACTTCTCCTTCCCTATCACAGAAAAAGAAAAACACTTTGATTTTTATGTTTCTTGATCATGATTCATACCTGGACTCCATTCAAAGTGAATGACGTACTCAAAAGGGCCTAAAACAAAATGGGCATCATCAAGAACCATAATTTCAGACACCCTTGTTCACATCTCCTGCTTCTGTATTTTCTGATCGATTCCGTTTCAGCGGTTCTTGATTTCCCGGCGAGCAGAGCAGAGCTGTCGGCGCGTTCGCTCGACGCGCTTCTCCAGGAACGTGCATTCCGGGCGCTCCTCCAGCCGAAGACCGGCGTCCCCTACGACGGGAATGTCCCTCCCGGGATGGCTGGGATCGGAGTTTCGGCGTTGCGATTGAGGAGTGGTGCCATGAGGAGGAAAGGGTTCAGAGATTTCCATGAATTTACCATCCCGGCCGGAATGGTGGCGCAGCCGTACGCGGAGAGGATAGTTCTTGTTTATCACAATTTAGGCAACTGGTCCGGCGTCTATTACCCCCTGCCGGAGGGTTACATTCATCTGACTCCTGTTTTGGGTCTGATGGCTTACGACGCTTCCAATTTGTCGGCTTCAGAGCTGCCGGAGCTCGAATTACGGGCATCGGAGACGCCGATGTTGATAAAGTTCTCAAGATTTAAGCCGGCGCCGGCGTCGGCGTCGCCGGCTTCCCCCAAGTGTGTGTTCTTTGATATGCGCGGTTCGCTGGAATTTGACATTGTTGCCGACGGGAACATATGCAGAGGTACAAAGCAAGGGCATTTCTCGATGGTCATCGACGTCGGAGCTCCGGGAAAAGTGCCGGCGGCCAGCATTGGAGACCGCAAAAACAGTATGGATAAGAAAGGATTTAACAAGTTATTACTGTGGGTAATTTTGGGGACAACGATTGGAGGGGTTGTGATGCTGTGTTTGTTGATCTTAGTATTAGTTTGTGCGAAGAAGGGAAGTGGGGGTAAGGAGGAGAAGAAGAAGCGGAAAATGGAGGAGGCTTTGGAACGCGAAGCACCATTGCCGACGACCGCCGTGAGACTCGCTACGGCGACGGTGGCTTCAAAGACCCGGACCAGGCCGGTGTTAGATGATGAATATACTGCATAGCTCTTAAGTTTCTAGAACAGAAAGTAAGACTGTACTTACCAATAACGTTTTTACTTTTTAGCTTTTAGCTTTCTTACATCAACCATGCTTGTTGTACCCACCACTTTGTACCCACCTTATACCCACCTCTGTGAAGGCTATTTTTTTGTCTGTGAAGTCGGTTCACAGACAAAATATGTCTTCGAATTTCTTCACAGACAAATTTTGTCTGTGAAAGAATTCACAGACAAAAAAAATAACTTCACAAACATGGGTGGGTACAAAAGTGGGTATAAAAGTGGGTACAAACATCATTTTCCTTCTTACATTTTGGCAAACATCGTTTGATTCTTGGTCAATGGTGTAATAATAATAGGGAGTACAATGGAGTAGTAGCACATAAATATATACAACCCGTTTGGTAGCACGAAAATCAGCTCTTTTGGCTGATTTTACTGAAATTTTGAAGTTTTGGCTGAAGTGGCTGCATTGGTTGATTCTGCTGATGTGTAAAAAAATTATTTTTAAAATATATCTTATTAATAAAATAAAGAAAAAATATATGTAAAAGTAGTTAAAATAATCATCTACTGCAACTTCAGCCAATACAGCTAGAAAAGTAACTTCAACTTTATTTTTTCTGCTTGTTACACAATTCTGCGCGCGAAAACAAAACTTACGTGTCTGGTGAAAAAGTTGGCTGATAAGCCTGATAAACCGAAAAATAGTGTTGCGAAATAGCCTCATAATGTCTATATTTTGCCGGTCTATAATAGAATGATTAGTTTTTTCGAAAAATCAAAAAATTAATGGTTAATGATAATGACTAATGTGAATAAAAGAAGTCCATGACATTCCCATAAAAATTTGTTGTGAACGTGTTTGAAATCAATAAAATTCTTTATAAAGTGATTGCATCATTTAAAGTGATCTTCCACAATAACTAACTCAAGTAAATTCCATCTGAAAAATAATTTTAATCTTACTAATTTTGATTTTTACACAATTCAACATTCGAAATATAAATTTACATCGGGAAATGATAAATAAGTTTGATAAATAAAAATGATAAACTCAAAATAAATGTTACCGGACAAGCTCTTAATCTAGATTGATGTCTTAAGGTTAGTATGGTTTGTCTTGTTATCCATTTCTGTGTATTTCTTCCAAGCACTAGTATATATCATATCTTGAGAATTAAAGGTTGCAGAAGGGTAACTCATATGTCAAAAAACATGAAATAATTTATGAAAAAGAAAGAGGAAAAATGTAAAGAGAAGTACGAAAAATGAACATATGGTTAGACCCGTTTTCAGGTAGGATCATGTGTTTCAACTTTTATCAAAGTAATTCATGTGTTTGAATTTCGTTATCACAAGAGGGTCACACCGTTCAAAACGTTTGAGAAGACAATGAATAGTAACTCTGATTTCCAAAAATGTCCGAAAAAATTAAAAGGAAAATACTGAAAGGTGCGTCATGCCAAGATGACCTCAAAACTACCTTCGTCTTTGGATTTTTTGAATTATTATTTTTTAAAATGAATTCACTAATAATACTATCACTTTTCCGGTAACAAGGGTGGTCGAAAACAAAAAAGAAAAATGACTCATATTAAACTAAATTGTTATTTACTCACACGAGACTAGTTATTTACTCATTACTTAAAAATTGATCTTTTATCCATTAATTTGCAGCCATGTAACAAACTATTCCTTTTATATAAAATGTTACGGAGTATAATTTTTTCCTTTTTAGACTAGTTTTATAAAAAAAATATCCAACTAAAAAAGTTTTTATAATCTTTAATTTAATCTGACATTAATATTGCATATGTAAATTTAAAAAATAATCTGATCTAGTTTCCCTCTTATATTGAGATCCGATATGACAGATTTTAGTATGCTCCGATAAATGTTTGGTGTATACGCATTTTAGTATTTTGTAAATCTAATCTATTCATGTCTGGACTATTTAAATCTAATTTACTTTGATTTGATTTGGGAGTAAAACTAATTCAATGAAAAACACCCCTACTGGATCACATGAGGTTGAACGAGTTGAAATAAGTCAAAGAATTATAAATTCTAGAGGTGACGCGATTTGGGACAGTTAGGTACTTTGCCGACTCTGACATCGGAGTGTGAATATTTTAGCGATACAGTATGGTTAGGTCCTGAAATTAAAGTTCTTCAGAACGGTCATACTTCTAGACGGGTGATACCATATACCAATATCACACCACATCACTTTTTAAATTGTTCCATAATACAAAAAGGTTTAACATCAAACAAATTGTCCATATGTGTTGGGCCGAATCTCCGATGCACACTGTATAAGGTCTATCACCATTATGATTGGTTGAGTCATTTTGATTTACGGTCCCGTGTGCTAGGGGTCCGAGCCTTTCGGGTTGGGATTCAACCTTTTCGACAAAAAATTGGTTCTAACTTTATGAGGACTGAGAATATTGAGGGTGAGCTGAGATTTAGGTAGTTTACTCGCTACTCGGTCAAGGGCCAAGTAGCGAGTAGGACCAATTACTCGGGATTACTCGGCCTTGTATTAATTAGATATAAAAATACAGGTGCCCAAAATTATAGAAATATAGTAGTCCTAAAATGGTCTTTAAAGTGTCTTAAAATGCATAGAAGTGAATAAAAGGATATAAATCTTATTATCCTAATGATGGAGTAGCAAAATCCTATTATTCTAATGATAAGAAACGAGACAGAGGAGGAGAATATATGAAAGAATTGATATCAATTCTCACTAAGCTCCAAACATACACACTGCCAAGGAAAAATTAATATAAAAAATGAAAGCTAAGAAACTTGGTACGTAGTATAAAGGGAACTTAATTCCTCAAGAATTTAATAACTAAGAAACTTAGCAACTTGGAATTTAATGGTCAAAAATTGCAGCTGCAGCAGTTTGGATAAACGAGAGGGAAGAATTTAGCAGTTTGGATAAACGAGAGGGAATTAATAATCGAGGTAATTCCCTAAACAGGACTAAATCAATGTTCAAATGCACAGATAGGACTCTCATATTTTACAGGACCATAAATCAGCTGAGTAGACAAAATTATCCTTAATGAAGTTACACGTTAAATACGGAGTAGAAAAAAATAAATCTGTCTCGCCCCAGCTGCCTTCTATGATGCACATAGCGTGAACACCAACCCTTCGACACCTTCAACACCTTCGACACCTTCAACACCTTCCGTTCATGGCCGCCGCTGTCAGACCGCCGCCGCAGTCACCGCCGAGATTGACGCAGCACACCTCCGGTGAGTCACGACTTACCCCTGCCTATAGGGAGAATGTAGCCATAGCTAAATTCCTCTGTGGAGATGATCTTTTAGTCACAGCTGTCCCTCTGGAGTGTATGGTATCAATTTCAGGCAAAAAATCTAATTATGATAACATCAATGACAAAAAATGGCATTTCTTTGTGCAAAAACATGGAAGTTTCAGATTACAAGTTACTTTGTATGACATTTTCACATTTTAGAGTTGGAATTGTGAAATAGTAGAAGAAAAGTGAAGAACCAATGTTGCTAACAAATTCAATTCAATGTCATAAAAATGCCAAAACTTGTGATAATGTCAAAAATCTGGCATTTTCAAAGATGCATATTTCCATCTCCATTTATAAATGCCATAAATTTGGCATTTCTTACAAACCAATAAAGATACACGATAATAACATTCAGATTTGAATTTATTTGAAGAAGAGCTTCAAAATTTCATACCCAAATGTTTTGAGTTCAAAAGTTTCAAACGAAAAATAAAATTTCCATTGAAAATTGAAATAATATTCCAATAAATCAACAACAAATAATCATAAATGCAAGATGAGCAAAGAATAGAAGAGGAGGAGGAAGAAGTAGAAGGGGAGAAGGAAAAGAAGGAAGAGAAAGAGAAGGAGGAGGAGTGGATTACATTACCTATGGTCAGGGGTGGACCCAGGAAGTTTATATTGGGAGGGGCGGTAACTTGAAAAAAATATTTTTTGGGAGGACGAAAATTATTTTTTTGTATATATATACACTATTTTTTTTGTTGGAGGGGCCACTGCCCCCCTAGGTCTCTACTACGGTCCGCCCCTGCCTATGGTGAGGCAGACCGGCGTGGTGCGCGGAGGGCTGAAGAGAATCTTCGTACTCCATGGGAGTCGGGAGAGGCCGGAGTTTGCCGATGCCAAAAAGAAATGTAGATCGAGGAGTTTCGTTGATGCGGAAGACAGATAAATAGGGTTTTATAATAGCAGGGGTATATTGGGAATAAAGAGTCCCATTTACGCAAAATAAAAGATTAACTCTCCTTTAGGAATTTCAATGATGATTCGGTCCTATTTAGGGGTAAAAAGTCTTAATAATCCCATGATTGATTTAATTTTTTTAAGAGGAAGGAAGAATTGATGAAACGAGGGAAATAACTTATCCGTTGGTGTCACAAGCGCAGCTCCTCGCAGTAGCACTGTAGCACTCGCAAGAGTCGCAGGTCCTCCTAGCAGCACTGTAGCAGTCGTAGCTCGTAGTAGTAGCGGTCGGAGCTCCTGACAATAGCAGTCGCAACTCTAAACGTTGTAGCAGCAGTAATCGATGCTCCAAACGATGACAAATAGCGATTATATGTCCCGGGGTCCCTCTCATCCCCGAGGACCAGCCTCGCTCTCATACGAACCGAACTGGTTTCGCCCTGCCTTGGGCTCATCAGGGGAACGGCAATAGCTCCCGACCAGTTGTGCCTTCAGACACGCGTTCGTCTCCTTCATAGTCAAGCCCCTTGCCCAACTCGGCCAGACCTTAGCGTCTAAGGCAGAACTCCCCTTGACGCTATTGCCTCCCACATGCCTCACCCGACATGCTAGCCAGTCGGTCCGTCCCATTCATTGAGCCTAACACGGTCACGACCAACGGTCCGTGACAGCGTGCTCTTTTTTATATACTACACATAGTAATAGCGAGTAAATGGCCAATTTGATCAACTCGCCAAGTTGACTAACTCGTCTAGTACTAGGCTAGTAATTAGGAAAATTAATTTGAGCCGAGTTAAGACTGAAATGTAGGAGGCCAAGTAGAGAGTAGCGGAATTGGTTCTGACTCTCTGAGCGAATCATCTAGAAATTTCTCAAGTGGTGGTCTTCCATTCATCGAGAATACGGATATTCCCGTTTTTCTTCTCAACAATCTGAAACCCTAGATTATTGCGCAATTCAGGGAAGAAGACATCGCACTTTGAAAAATGGGGAAGCAGCCTGTGAAATTGAAGGCCGTCGTTTACGCTCTATCTCCGTTCCAGCAGAAGGTGATGCCTGGCCTATGGAAGGATCTTCCCGGCAAGATCCACCACAAAGTTTCAGAGAACTGGATCAGCGCTTCCCTCTTACTTGGACCTCTCATCGGCGTCCATTTGTACGTA